ACAGGGGGTTACGAGAGGCGATTAACACCACGTGACCAGCTACCGATCAGCAATCGTGAGCTTGCATGGGCTTCTGGCGTGTTTAATATTTTGCTCGTCCCTCGTGAGGGTATCGCACTGTTGAAGCGTCGCTGCGAGAAGCTGCGACCCAAAAAGTATCAGAACCGCTCACGGAGCATTCGCAATCCTGCATCAACACTGCTCGCCCGCTATCAGTGTTGGGCAAGTTACTTCAAAACTGTAATGCATTATTTATTACTTGTTACCCTCATTTTAAAGTAATTCATTACATTACAATATTACTGATTTTAAAATGTAAGGCATTACACTACTTTTGCATTACTCTAAGTTAGGGCCTGCACGACTTTATTTTTTTTAAAGTCGACAGTCAAGTAATGAAAGTCGAGTCGACTGAGACTAGTCGTTGATGACGTCATACGCCGGAAGGGGGGGGGGGGGGGGGGGGGGGTCGGTCGGTAGGTTCGCTGGAGTTTTTGACAATTAAAATTGCGCCCACATTTTCTAAGTTAACACATCCCTTTTAACAACGGTAGTTTCTGCATCCTACATCAGTCCTCTCCCCCCTCCCCCTGCGCAGCAGCCGCAAACTCACTGATGGCCTGCAGCCTTTCCTGCTGCTCTAAACATTAAAATAATTATTTCATTTTCTGTTCCTCACTTCTGATTACCTTCAGTGGTGTATGTTTGTTGCATCCACCAGGTACAAAAACGAACTTGTTTTTATTTGACTATTTTTCTGCCCTGCCTGTTTATCTTCCTGCATCTCCTCTCAATCCTAAAGAAAAACTGCTACCTGCGTTCATATATATTCACCCTATGAGTTACCTTTGAACTGCAGTTCTAAAAGATCTACCGACCGCAAAAACAGCGGAGTGCCGCTGCTCGCCGGCCGACTACAACCGGACCGTTTTTGCTGCGGAGTTCATGCCGGAGCGGAGCGGAGTGGAGATAGTGGAATCTTGGGGGTGCGTCACCGGAGAACAAAACAGGTGAAGAGCCTCGCTCCGCAGCAGCGAAATGCATCAGGCACAAATAGCAGACAGAAAACATGAAAGGAAATGAGCCGACATGAACGATCGCGTGTTTAATTTGTTTTTGAGTTGGTGACACCTGATTTGGCCGTGCTCAGGACGCAATGTCTGGAGCGCGTCAACGATCAGAGCTTTGCATGCACAAACTGGTTAAGATTAGGATGGGGGTGAGGGGAAGGTTAAATTGCAAGAGGGAAAAGGTCACAGTTTGGTTAAATGTCCGTTTTACCGCCGGTGTCAGTACCGCACATCGCGTCACCTCCGCCTCGATCCAGACGCGCAGGGGCTCATCACCTGCTGTCTTTTCCAAGGACTGCATCTTGTCAGTCATTATCACGTGACAGCGACTAGTTGATGACAGGCATAAAAAGTCACTACAGAGCCGTGAAGTCGACTAGTCGACTAGTCGACTAGTTCGTACAACCCCTACTCTAAGTTACTTTCACCAATACAACTTCAATATGAATCTGGTCATGTGACGCTCAGTGAGCTCATGACATATGTGTGGAAAGCGATGTGGTGTCTGAGCTAGGATTGCTGTTAAAAACAGTCAGATATCATAACAGTGCTTTAAAATGATTGTTTATTAAATGAAAGCAACAACAATCTGTACTCTCAACATGCTGCCATCTTATATTAACTGAGCAGGGAGTGAGGTGGTGGGGGCTCCAAGCCTATATTTGCTTTGGTCCCCAAATGCCTTGATACGGCCCTGGATGTGGGACTGACTTCTGGGGTGATCTGATTCTATCACATGTATAAATATTAAATGCGTATATATTATTGCTTTCACTGGTAAAATGTGTATTGGGGATAAATCTACCTACTTTTTTCTTTTCAAGCACTTTGTTTTGTTTTCTTGATTTTATTTGAATCATTTCCGGCCCTTTCTCTCTCTAACCTTCCTGCATGCTGCATGTTTTCTCCGTCTTCCAGAAAAAACCGTGTCCTAGACTTCCTACTTTCTGACTATCAGCCAAAGGGATCTTCACATGCGCGGCGCTCCAGCAGTAATGAGTTGAAATCACCAGGGTACAGATTATGAACTCAGCTGAGGCAAAGCGCGTCAGAAAAGCACAAAATACCAGAGAATATGCGCTGATATGAACGATCGCAAGAGAATTATTTTGTTTTAGTGGAGCGATTTTGTGAATGTTGCAGCGGCCGCATGCAGGACGCAGCTGGAGTATTTGAGCCGTTGACTGTTGTAAACCTGCAATGACATTTTCGTGGCGGATAAGATGTGGCTGGCTTGACCGCGGCTCACAAATGACGGCTTACTTGACCGCGGTCCGTTACCGCGTACCGCTGCGTCCTCTCTGCCCGCAAAGCTGAGTCCATAAATGACGTAATATATGCATATACTGGATCTTTCTTCGGGTTTCCCGCAATTTGAATTTTTAAGGAACACATCTTGATTCTGGGTTTAAAAATGCATTGTAATTACCGCGTTACTGACAATTGTACCGAGTAAATATTTTGAAAACGCTATGGTCCTATAAAAACAGCTTCAGGCGGACTAAGGCACCACACTCCACACCTAGTGTGGCAGGGGGAGGGAAGGCAAAGATGTATAGCAGGAGAGGGGAAGAGTCAAAGACCCCATCTGACATATACAGTCATACACAACCACAGCCACACACTCACTCCCTCATGCTCACACATACACATACAATCTAAGATGTCCAAAAATGCACTCCAGACACCCACTCATGCTTCCCATACACACTCTATTCACTCTGGTCCCGGTACTGCAGCACAAGGGTACAACCATCACCGGTTCCCAGAGTTCGACCCTTCCTGCTGGGGTGCTGATGAGCAACCCCCCCCCCCCCCCCCCCCGCACACACACACACACACCCCCACCAAATGCTGAGCAAAGCAACCCACCACCCCAGACCCCGGCCAGACGGCCAGATCCCCCTCCTACCCTCCAGCTCATGAAAGCCAAATGACAACAGAGGTGTGCTAAGACCCCTTGTCTCCCTCCGCCTGCTCCAATACTGTGTTGGTGCGTGTTGAGGAGGTGTATTCGTGGCTGTGGTGAGCGGGCAGTGCAGGCATCATCTGGCCGACGCCAGCTGATGCCACCACACCACCCCTCTTCCCCCCACAGCGGGGGCAGTCTAAGTGCAGTTTAAATTAGAAGTGTGCACCGGCACTTGGGATGAGGCATTTGCACAGCTTCCAAAATATATAAGACATAGGACATCCAGGTAAGGTTGGGTCCTCCCCCTCCTGGACATCCCCCTCCCCTGTGATGAGACGGCAGAGGAGCCAAGGTCTCCCTGATGCCTCTGAGCCCGGATCAGGCATTGCCGCATGTTCCCGCCTTCTTCCTGGCAGCATACATGTCACGACCCTAGCCCCCAGGCCCCCGCCCAGACCTACGCAGGGGCAATGCAGCCGCTAGGCAGAAACCCATGGCCACCACCAAGACCCCCAAGGGGCCCCACCTACAACCGCCAGTAGTCCACCCCCTAATGCAACCCAAGCACCCCCGGGGGACGGGGGCATCAGACACCCCCAGTGAACTCACCCTCAGGGAATGTCCGGATACTCTAAACTCAGGCCCTCCACCCCATCACCCACATCATACCGCAGGACAAAACCAATGACCCCCCCCCCCACCCCCATCGCTATGTGACGGAATTGATCAAAGCAGCCCAAAGAGACTAACTTGAAGTGGAAGCAGAGGCTGTATCAAGTGTAATATGATCTACCAAAATATTTCTATACTGGTTAATTCAAAGAGTATCTCTATTTTTCCAATTCATGAGGATAGTTTTCTTAGCAATGCATATGGCAGTCAGAACCGCGTGAACCAAATATGTTTCAGTCGGGACATCGTCCAGGTTTCCCAGCAAACAAAGAGAGGGGGAAGTTGGGATATGACATTTCAGACACTTACCACCATACAAACCACTAAACTATGTGTGGTTTCTGCAGAGGGGAACACAGTGTGCTGTTCAATAGGAAGTTGCTCAAGTTTCTGGTTCAAGAACCATAGAAAGCCATTTGAAAGCACTAGCTACATGTTAAGCACTCTTTAGAGTTGTTTTTTGTTGAAGGAGAAATTAAGCTAATATAAAGTGAAATAATTAATTTTACTAAATGCTTCATCTAATTTGCTGCTACAGATGTATTTTCTATTCTGATATATTAGGAAACATGTCTGTACAAAACTAGCATTAAAAAGCACATTTTTAAACCTTTTCCAGTATTTTGAAAAGAAAGTTTCTTTCTTTTGATCATGATATTTTACAGTGCACCACTTTCAGACAACCCACCAGCTGGGTGTTTCTATCAACAGTAAAAAAGCTACCTTTAGAGCTACTTGTATGCTGGTAACACGTTCCATTTGGTAACATTCTGGATTAGAATAATTTTGCACAATTCAAAACATTCTCTGCTACTATCTGTCAGCCATGCTGAATGTAAGAAGCCTCTTAATTACACCTGCCTTTACATTCATGTTCCTTGTCTATATGTTATTTTTACGAAGAAAACCTCAAGTCAGCAGCATTCCAGCAGCTGCAGACTTTTGTCAGTGTTGTGCAGTGTGTAAATAACACTGTGTATGGGGTACATTTTTGCAGAACTTCCAGCTTAATGCAGCTAGTTATGATGAATAAAATGCATTCACGCAAGGAAAAATATGCATAGAGTTGCAGTTTTATGTGCAAAGTGCAAGTGAAATGTGACCCGTTGACACTTTCATTGGAGTAAGTAAATCAGTATTGTTAAATCACTGGAAAAATGTGTGCGAAACTCTTCTTATTTCATTTAAGAACCACTGTAACCAATCAGAATCTCATTCATTTAGCTTGCAGGCACCTCTCCTGCTGAGTGACTGTGACACTGTTAGAAGAAAGCAACATTATTCAGAGAAACACAGAAGTTTCTGCCATGAAGTTTATTATAATGTTTACTTTTGCTCTTGTTTAGATAACCACTCGATGGCTACCTACTCAGAAGTGAGCATTCGGATCCTGGATGTAAATGACAATCCTCCTGAACTGGCTAAACCGTATGAAGCCTCCATATGTGAAGATTCCAAACCTGGGCAGGTATGTTATTCTTCAATCAAAATTAGGGTAAGATTCCATTTAAAATATGCAAATGTTCCTTTACAAGTTTGGTCACCAAGTGACCATTTTACCAAAAGTAACTGGTAATCTGATTTATTTTTCCTTTTCTTTCAAATTCGAAGGCCAAACGGATTTTACGACTGCATGCAATCAAAACAACAATATATTTTCCTTTATCTCATGATATTGCAGGTGTTTTGTGCAGAAGTCGCCTCAGGTCTGAATGTGCTCATGTACAAAACTATAAGCTCTTTATTCAAATAAAATCTTCTGCAAATATTATAAATGGAAAACAAAATGCTTTTGAAAGAAATTATTCTATGTAGTGTGTTGGGGAAAAAAACTAAATGTCACGATCTTCATTCTATGGAACTCAAAATTATTCAAAATTCAATAAATAAATTATGAAAATAAATATCTACATGAAGAAATTCTAGACAATCATGTAATCTGACAATGAAATGATGAAATAACAGAATGTTATGTAAAATCTAAGCTCAATATTATGACATATTTTTCAGTCTTTTAAAATGTCTTTTTTAATATAAAGTTTTTTTTCAAAAGTCATTTTTTCATAATAATCCAAATTAATATTGAGCCACTTTTATTTAATTCACTCAGTTTTTATTACA